TCCTTACTTCAAATCCTAACCTGAATTGTATTGTAGTATGTCCTCACAGCAGGTATATAAATAAAATCACATAAATGTGGAATATTTTCTACTCAAAATTTGTATGTCATCCACTTATAATCAATCAATTATTATGCTTACTAAGTCATATCTCTAAGTCACCTCTTTAAACATCTTTAATATTTCTTTTGGCAGGTTGACTTGCAATTTTTGCATTTGGGCATTTTATTTTCTGCATAGTATCTTGCCTTTAATTCACATAACAGGGAAGATGGAGATGAAAACCATTTCACTCTTAAGAGTAATGACAGGGAATCTTTAAATTGATAATCATTGATCCACAAAAAAGCAACATAAGTTAAAAGATAATTTAGATATCTGCCCGAGAGAGAACACTCTTTTTCTTATTTATTTATTTATTTATTTATTTAGAGACGGAGTCTTGCTCTGTTGCTCAGGCTGGAGTGCAGTGGTGTGATCTTGGCTCACTGCAACCTCTGCCTCCTAGGTTCAAGTGATTCTCCTGCTTCAGCTTCCCAAGCAGCTGGGACTACAGGTGCATGCCACCACACTCAGCTAATTTTTTGTAGTTTTAGTAGAGACGGGATTTCACCATGTTACCCAGGCTGGTCTTGAACTCCTGACCTTGTGATCCAACCACCTTGGCCTCCCAAAGTGTTGAGACTGTAGGTGTGAGCCACCGCGCCTGGCCTCTTTTGCTTTTAAAAATGTTTTAAAAAGGAACTGACAGTTCCTTTTAAAATGAAATATAAAATTTTACTTGAGATTATTATCCAATATAATATATTTCCAAATTATTTATTTTATTTGGGGAGTAATATGAGGGAAAAGAATAAATGAAGGGGAAGAGAAATTTAAAAAGCTAATAGAAAGATCTGAACATAGAAGAACTGCTTGAACCTGGGAGATGGAGCTTGCAGTGAGCCGAGATCTTGCCACTTCACTCCAGCCTGGGCGACAGAGCAAGACTCTGCCTCAAAAAAGCAAACAACCAAAGAAAAAGATCTGAACATAGAACATAGCATACAGACACAAAGAGACTTACAGGTTCACAAAGAAAACACCACCAAGAAAGACACATAGATCTCACAGAGGGGCAAATACAGTACACGCATGCACTTCGAAGCTAACATATTTTTTATGCCATAATATTCCCATCTTGTGGTATTTTAGGGTATTTCCCCTAAAAGATTTTAAAGTCAAATGGTTGCTCATTATCAGCATAAATGGGAATCACCTCTTGGCACATATTCTTAGTTGCGTCAATTGAATTAAGCTGAACGCTAGAGATTAGAAACCCCCCGCCGGTCTAGGACTTCCAGCTCTTACACAGATAATGAGGGCCAGGTCACACAGATAATGAACTTGATGCTTCTTGCCCAATTCCTGTGGTAAGAGCATGGGGGAAGATGCAGGCCCAATTCCCTTCTCTAATCCCAGCCATGTTTTTTATCTCCCTTCCATCTTCTCTGGCTGTCCCCACAATTCATCCCCCATTCCCCAACTTCCAGCAGTACCAGCAATTCCTAGAAAGATCAGCTCCATCTGACTTCCATCCTCACCATGGCTGCATGCCTGTTTTTTGACTAGTGAGTATTGGTGTGAGGTGCAGGAGAGTATGAAGCACACCTTGTGCATGATCATCCTGAGAGAAGAAAGAAGGTGATTTCGTACTTACATGATGTTCCATTCAAACTTGATGGTGGGGATGTGACTAAAGCTTGTCCAAACAGAGCCTAGAATACTTTGGCCACGGTGATTGATTCAAGAACGGGTTGTTGGCTCAAACAGTTCCCTTCAAAGGCCTCTAGGTAGTGCTGACAGGTCAAATCAACTAGACTGCTATTCACTCCTTCATTCATTCTATGAATATTCCAGCATCAGGCATTCTGCACATACAGATGAACAATACAGGCATGGTTCCTGATCTTATGAAGCTTAGAGTACAGCAAAGGAGTAGTGAAGAGAGAGCTGAGAAGGGATGTGAGGAGGGCTTGAGGGTCTCCAAGAAGAGGTCAGAAGGCAATTGTGGGTTGTATGCTCATAAATCACCTGCTAGTGCTACTTTGGAGGCATATGAATTGATTGATATATATTTTTTTGAGGAGAGAGAAACGAAAAAAATTGCGATTGACCCTTATAACCAGAATTTTAACTAATAAGTGTCTACTTCAGTCAACTGAAGAGATGTGGAAGCTTAAGGTGGGTATATAAACATCAAAAATGAGGAAGCAAGAATGATCAGAAAGTGTGTTGTGGGAATATGATTTGAAAAGACTTCCAGGGGAAAGTAGATTTGGAAAACAGTTTAAATGTTAATGGTGGAAAATGACAGGAGAGATAAAAATTGATGGCCCTTCTGGTGTGGGCTATGGCCTATGCAAAGATGCTGTGCCAAAAACTAATGAGTGATTTGTGAGGAGGTGTCACGCAGGTTGGCTTACAGGGGAAGAACTGAGAGAAGGCAGACATGGAGTTCTAGCTGGAGACTTGGATTAGATTATAGGTGATAAATTTCCATATAGGCCTTAATATTGAGAATGAATAATTGCTAGTTGATTTCCTGATGAAGATATAGGTCTTAATAATGAGAATTAATAATTGCTAGTTCATCCCCTGGCCAAGATCTCAAATTCTGGAATGCCCGCCCAACAACCTAGGTTCCTGAGGCTCAAAGGAGATCCACACCAAGCACTCAGGACATTTTGGCCAATATCCCATGTTATTCCTCCCTAGAGTTCTGATCCCATTTTCGCATCTGTGCTCTCTCCTGGGGGGATTTTGCCAGACCATGTAAGAGTCAGGAGAACATATCTTTACCTGGGCCATGGTTGGGTGAAGTGTCTGTGTAGTGGACATTTTGAATGTTGGCTGCTTTGCGTCTGTTTCTTCCTCCTTTTGATAATGGCATCCTGACTTCTCACTGGGGATTCACTCCCTCCTTACTCTAAGTCTATGTAGTCTGGAGGACTGCTAGCATTAGGGATGGATCCATTACCTAGGAATGGTCAATAAATGTGGTTTCTGGAACTTTTACAGGATATCTTGGGAAGTAAGGAGATCCTAGCTTCAAGCTGCTACAGAGGCTGAAAATTGCTAACCCTGGGGAATGAAGAACAGAAAGATGAGATGAAAATACCTAGCTGTACCTGGAACACTTCTGAGATTTTTAGTAACATGACCCACTACATTTCCTCTTTTTTTGTTTATGCCAATTTGGTTAGGGCTTTCTATTACACAACTAAAAGTCCCAGTTGTGACTGTTGCCTGTCATGGCTTTTTTTTTCTCTCACAGGTCCAAGCTCTGGTCTTGACCATCTGAATTTTATTTCCTTATCTGGAAGAGGAGCCATTGAAGGGTAGAACTGCCAAGTTTCCCCCTTGAAACCTGTTTTTCCTTCAACCCTACCCTTGTCTTGAAGTTTTTTCGAGTTGGGGTCCTCCTTGCACTGGACATGAAAGGTAAGAAAGAAAAGATGATAGTATCAACCACCTAAAAGATTGTCCCCTTACTCCTCCTACTTAAAACCCTACACCTTAGCATCATCACTCCTGAAGACTTTAGAGTTTCTGACCTTTATTACAGCACCTCTATCTTGACAGGGTAGGGGTTCCATGTGAAGAAGGAAGCTCTGAGTACCCCACAGAAGTTAGAAATTTTAGCCAACAGTGATGGTTGGGTGAGAGGTTCCCATAAAAGAAGGGCTGAGAACTTGTAGATTCTGACTCATTCGACCAACTTAGACAGTCACTCCTTGTCTTTCATGAGAATCTCTACAGTGACTGATACAAGTTGTATGCTTTTTGCTTCTTGTTATCCTTCCCAAAGGGTTTGTGGTGGTTGGGTTCTGTACACAAAGCTGTTCTAGTTATCATTTTTATCTCAATGATGGATAAATTAGAGGTGTACTGAAATTCTACTATAATAATCATACATCTGTTTAGAGTTTGAAAGTTTACAAATTGCTTTTACATATATCATGTCATTTAATGTCACGAACCTAAGTCAAAAGAACCTTGAGTGGAAAGTAAGCTAGACATTAAGTCTGTGTCACAGATGGAGACACTGTGACTTACAACCATGGTTTGCCTAAGATCACACAGCTAGGAAATGGGGGCACTGGAGGCTGGGACATTCCATTCAAATTCAGGAGTCCCCGCCCTCTCCACTGTCATGCAGTCTCTCTGATAGGTCAGTTTGGAACTAAGGAAAATACAAAAGGAGTGTAAAACATGGTCTGATTGAAAAAATAAGGCACATATGCAAGACCCAAACAGCTATTTAGGATATAAGCTCTTGAAATGAAAAAGATTATGATGTCTGTCCTGTGTGTAATTCAAAAATACAAAACAAGGCTAAACAAGTGTGGGAACTCCTCTGAAGTTCTGATTTTTCCTACGATAACGACTTCAGTACTTCTTTTTGAAACATTCAATATCAAATCTTTTTACAAAGAGTTTTTGTTTTCTGTGCCTTTGATTTGCTTTTGTCCTAAGTCGCACTTAGCTGACCTGCTGGGTGGCTTGGTATAGGCTGTCGTAATGTAATGGCAAAAGTGGTGACTGAACACAATAATACTAGCTTTATGCCACTTAGTATATGGAACATAATAGGTACTCAAAAGATACTTTGCTCACAAGGGAACAATATTGATAATTTAGACATTAGAAAAATACCCCACTCATTACTAAATCTGTTCTGGGATATTTGAAAACTTTTGGGGACCATACTTTAGTTATTCTGAACCACTGGACTAAAGAACAGTTGACTCAAGGCTTTAAATAGATAATCAAATTACTGTCAATTTTGCTCAAGTCAGTTGCTCAAGATTTAAAAAAAGTACTTTGAATCCAACACTCCATTTAGTGGCCTCATTTAAATATTGCCCTTTTCAAGTAACCACTATTTTTCTTGCCTGGAGTAGAAGCCCAACTCTGCTTTATTATACAGCAAATTGCTATATAAGTGAAGGACGCACCTGCCACGCCTCAACTTTCTTGATGTCTGCACAGGAGCCGTTGGTGAAGAGCCCTCTCCCAGGTAAGCAGGTATATATATCTTGCAAGGCATGGGCAATGGAGTAGACTGCTAAGTACACATTGTAGGATATCCGTAAATGTGTGTAATCTATGTAAGGGGTCTCAACACTGCTGATGTTCTCATCCCCTGTACAGAGGGGTCGGAAGGCTGTCGAACTGTTGCTAAACCTGCCTCCACTTTCTTCGTGACCTCTCAGAAAGGTGTCCACAGGTAAAGGTCCTTTGGCACCTTCTTGGAGGTGGCAGTTAAATGTTTCTTCCCAAAACTCCTTGGCAAAACCATTGTGGACAGACTTCCTGGGATGGACCTTCTTCAGGAATTCCCGAAAGCCTGGGATCTGCCCAGCCTTCAGAGCAAATCCAATGGTGCCTCCAACCACGTGGAAGTACTGGGGCATGGCGATCAGGGAGGAGCTGGCCCAGGCCTCACTGGCCAGCCAGATCTTGCCTGTGATATTGCGCCGGACAATCTCCTTGATGAGGGGCTCAAGGTCTGGGCCACTGGAGAAAACCACGATTACTTTGGCCGTGGAATTTTGAATCACCTCCACCACATGCTGGATCTCTTCCTCATCAGAGTACTGGGAGATGAGTTCACTGAAGTCAATGCAGATGTCCCTTTCCTCAGCTTCCTCTCGGAACTTCTCAATCCCTGGCCGCCCATAGTCATCATCAGCTGCAATTGTGCCCACCCAGTTCCAGCGGAAATACTCAATGATGTCTGCCATGGCAGTGGCCTGGTGCTCATCATTGGGGATGGTTCGGAGGAAGGACTTGAATTGATTCTTGTTGCTAAGGAGTCTGCTGGAGGAGGCGTAACTGACCTGGAGAGAACCAAGAACGTGGTGAATGAGTGAGTGAGTGAGTGAGTGAGGAGGTGCTGAGTGAGCCTCCAGGCTGTTGTGGAGGTGGCTTTCTGAGCATGCCTTGGTCTCATTTATCAACTATGCTGTTCACTGTGTACAGGATGAAAGAAAGTGTAAGGAAAAGCAGCATCTGTTCCACTCCAGCGTGAGCACTTAAGCACCTTTCAGTCTATGAGGGAGCATCCCAATTCCCAATCGATGGCTCTTCACAATGCTACCTTCAAAACTGGGTCTGGCCATAAAATCAACCCAACAATAATGGGATGTGCTTAGCCTTTCAAGAAGAGTCTTTATGCACCATTTCATGTTTCCTCTAACCTCCTCTGTGCTGCCTCATTGGTTATAGTATATCCACGTACACAACTTTGGCCTGTTGTGCTCAGCTTCTGATCTGAACAGTTTAACTTCCCTTTACTGCAATAAACACTTTGTCCATAATCTGCCTCTGGAAGGAATCAGGTTCCCCATGGATTATAAACTTAAGGCTTTTCAGGAGTCCCCGGGAATTCCCTTTTCTTATTCTACCTAATTTCTCTCTTCCCATCCTCTGGTTATTCCTCCTCCTCCCTCTCCTCCCCGCACCCCAGTACTTTAGAAAAAAGTAACCTTAATTGCAGTCATTTCTAAGAACTGTTTCTTTTAGGCTCAATTAGACCATTAGGCTCAATCCCCCTGCATCACAATAACAATGACGTGTGTAATTAAATATCATCAGAAAAACCTCCCTTCCTCTCCATCCCTCTATTGTTGGATTGATTTTATGACCAGACCCACTTTTGAAGGTAGCATTGTGAAGAATCTTCCATTGGGAAGCACCTTCCAGAGCCCTTTCCTTTATTCATTTATAGGTGATGGCCAAGCCTGCTTGACAGGCTTTTGATGTGGGTCTCGAAAATCTTAGAGGCTAAACAGGAACCCTGGATAAGCTGTCTTGACATGTTTGCACTCTCTAAGACATAGCCACTTCTGCATCTGAGCAAGGGTGTGGACTACCAGGGGAAGAAAGTCTTGCCCTTGACGTTAAGAGATCGTTGCTTGAAGAAGTAGCCAAATACCATGTAAAGCATTAGTTAGTGCAGAGCTTTCCCACTTCTTTTCACATTATGGCAACACAAGGAGCAAATGGAAGAAGCTGATCAACCCTGGTGGGAGTGCTCTGACCACTCAGGCCCCACCTGGCCACCCCAAAGCTTGAGGGGATCCACATCTTTGATGAGGCTGGCTTCAGCTCATTTGCAGCACTCTGTGTCATCAAGGCTCACCACTTAGGAAGTTCCAAGTTATGGGAACATTTTTTCTGAAGAACGAAACATTTTAACACAAATAGAATTTCTTCTAGGAAATGAAGTAGCTTAATACCTTGTGTTCTCTAGTTTTTCCAGAGAGATTTTGAACTTCTTAAGAAAACAAGTCAAAGGTATTTGGGTGAATGCCTTTTTAATATCTCTCACCAATTAAAACAATTAATTTTCCATGTCCAATATTTTTAAATAAAATTTTCCAAAGCGTTTCTTCTTATCAATGGATAGTTTCTACATTAGAAACATAAAAGGTGTTGGTCTGTGAAAAAATGAGGCCAACTTGACTAAAAAGCAAGTATGATTGTTTTCTGACAAGTGCTTTTATTTTAGAAGGTATAGTATAAAATTGATTATTTTTTCCTTTATCAGAATAAGGTATTCTCAAAATACAACAGAACTTCATGAGGCAGGTGGTTAAATTAAATAATTTGTTTAGATGTTACTGTTTTCAGAGAATTCTGTTAGCAGACCCAAACGATAGGCCTCTGAATCAGATTTTTGCAAACACAAAACCTACCGTTTAAAAAAATCCATCCATTATTGCTTGCTTCTTGAGTTTTTGAAAAACAGGTCAAAAGGGCTTTAATGGAATAAAAAAATTAAAACCAATAATATTCCTCATGGATATGTTCTCTTAAGGGATATATTTATAATGTTTCCCAAGTTTTTAAAAGCAACTCTAAAGTGGGGTAAATACCATTTTGTGTCCCAACCCCCCAAAAAAACCCTCAGAAACACACAAAACTTTTTTTATTGTAAGAGGGGAGAATTTCATGAATGATTCAGAAAACTGTTCCAACCGCAATTTGTCTAGCTGGTCTGCCTGTTCCATCCACTTGGTGGCGTGGCTGGCATACAAAATACCCCTGGGTTCATGACCCCACCCGGCAGGGCAGTGGCTCCCAGCCCAGCTGCACATTAGAATCACTTCTGGAGTGTTAAAACCTCCTGACACCTAGGCTGCATCTCAGCTCAATTAAAGCTTGTTCTTTGGGGAGTGGGACTTAGGCACCAGTATGTTTAAAGCTCCCTAAGTAATTCCAATAGGTAGCCATGGCAGACATGGCAGAGAACCCCTACTGTAGATAGACTTATGTTGGTTTGATTGATAATCAAAGCACTTTTATAATTCAAATTCAACTTAACCTTATCTTTCATCCAAACCACAAAGAATTAACACCCCCCCCGCCCCATGCCACCTTTCATGTTCTTTCTTTACTTGACATCTTAGCCTGTTGGCTATGGTGTAACAATAACTTACTTTAACTGTGTATCTAAATTTGAATATACGCAGCACGTTTACTGATACAGGCTTTGTCAGATCACTTTGGCACAAAAGTTACAAAGCCAGGGCTTCCCCATGGGAAATACCTTTAATTCCCTGAAGTAAGGATTCCGTAAATAATGACAAAACTATCTCTTGTCTCATGTATATAAAGAGATAATGGCAATCACCAAAAAAAAAAAAACCAAAAACCAAAAAAAACCATGGAGCCCTCCCAACATAGAAATGTAAATTTATCAAAGGTACTCTTACAAATTTTAAATATTAAGCATTCAAAAAAATAAATTTAAGGTGTAGTTTATAGTTCAATTTCAAACTTAGTGTAAGGATGCATCACAATTGAGCTAATTCTCCCACCCACAGACATTTAGGTTGTTTCCATTTTTTCACTATTATAAAATGATGTCATAGATTCATAAATATTAAACTGAAAAATGCTTTGCTCTATAGTGTTAAGAAGGAAAATGCCAGGATATAAAATGGCATTTCACATTCGTTATCTTTTTTTGGTGAAAAAATATACCATTGAATGTTTATTAAAGCACTTGCTTCAATAAACTGTTAGTATATGAAAATGCAGCCATCTCTCCACCTAGGCTGAGTTCCTGCTAAGTGGAGACTGCTTATACATATATACTGAATAAATATTTGTTGAATGAAATAGAATTTTCTCCATTTCTGGAATATGCAACACAATGATTAAGTTCCTGTATTGTGAGAAAATATGCTCTGCTTCCCTCTGAGTTAAAGTTTCAACCAGACAGTAGAGAAGCAGAGACTTTTCAGGAAATGGAATTAGGGACAGATATTTTGAATTTGAGAGGTGGGATTTACCTCATATGCTCTGATTCCTTTTAGTAAAAGCAGAAGGGAAAAAAGCATTTACTAAAGGAATAGAGTGGGAAATAAATAATTGAATGCCTCTTTTTAAAAAAAGACACAGTTTTATGCAAGATACATTTAAAAGAATTTTGGAAGAGTAGTGAAGGAATCATTGACACTGTGGACACTGGAGTTTCAGAAATCCCAAATGGTCATGATACAGCATATCAACTAAATCATAGGTCTTTTGTGCCAGAGATAAGAAAATAGCAAACTGTATGGATATTGGGCATGGCACCCCCAAGTCTGCTTCTTCTGATCCTGCTCCCAGTGCCCCATCTGAGAAGGCGTGAGTACCTGGGGAATGTAGAAGAGCCCCAGCAGATTTGCCACTGCCGTGGAGACGCCTGAGCCAGTTGCTCCCACCACAGCAATCGTAGAGGGAATGTGCTCTGAGCAGTTGCAGAACTCATCAAGGTTCAAAGAATCAATTTTGTTTTGAGCAACAAAACTCAGGGTGGCTTCCAAGGCCTTAGAAACGGTGTTGCAAGTGTCAAATATCCTGTATCCCAGCGTCAAGTTGGGAAGAAGGGCTGGGCTGCTGTTTATCTCCTCTATGGCAAATATCATAGCCTGTAACCAGCGAAACCCACGGAAATTATACCTGGAAGAAAGAAGAAGTGGAAGAAAATGGGAAGCTTTCTAGTCAATGACTTAAAGACCGGGCAAAGCTGGGTTTGAATCATGGAACTGTTACTACTCTCTGGCTTCATGGCATGCTCTGTACAGAGCCCTCTCTGTTAAAATGGGGATGACATGGCCGGGCGTGGTGGCTCACGCCTGTAATTCCGGCACTTCGGGAGGCCGAGGCAGGTGGATCACTTGAGGTCAGGAGTTCAAAACCAGCCTGGCCAACATGGCAAAACCCTGTCTCCATTAAAAATACAAAAATTAGCCAGGCGTGGTGGTGGGTGCCTGTAATCCCAGCTACATGGGAGGCTGAGGCAGGAGAATCACTTGAATCTGGGAGATGGAGGTTGCAGTGAGCTGAGACTGTGCCACTGCACTCCAGCCTGGGTGACAGCATGAGACTCCACCTCAAAAATAAATAAATAGATAAATAAATAAAAATAAAAGGAGGATAACACTTGCCTTACAGGGTGACTGTAAAGATGATGACATAAGATAATTATGCAAAATCTTCAGCACGGTGCCTCACACAGAGACAGAGAGCAATAATGACAATAATAAAAAGAAAAATAAAAATAAAAGATTGCTATTTGTAGTTCATTGAATAATTTGTATCTGTCTTCTCCAGTAATGAATTTGAAGTAGCTAATGTGAGACACTTAAATAAAAGCAATATGTAGATGTACAAGAAAAAGACGAGGGTAAACATAAATAGATTAGGATATTAATATGTGGGTGCCTAAAAATAATCTCAGATCAGATTTGCAGAGTCGTAAGTTTAGACTATGACATTCCTGAAGGTCAAGGGGAAAGAGACATGAATGATCTCATTTTTGCAAACAAATAACAAACCTATGAAAGCCATACACAGACAGTGGTTATTCTGGGGTGTACAACAGTGGTCATGTCTGGGTGGTGGAATGCTTAGTTTTAAAATTACGTGCTTTTGGCTTATTTATACTTTATGTCTAAAAAATGAACATGCATTGCTTTTCAAAGAAGAACATTTTAAATAAAAATCAAACAAGTTAACAAGAGAAATAGGGTCAGAGACATAGTTTTCACTTCCCCAGCACTTTGCTCAGCATGAGGGCTCAGGAAATGTGCTGAATCAGTGTATTTGTGTCTAGAGGAAAAAACTCGCCAGGTTCTTTCTTTATATTGTGAGTTTCACTACTTGAACTCAGTGACAGTGACAGGAGGTGAGATATACGATCTTTTGTACTGCATTGTATTGTTAGGTTCCCTAAGCTCTTGGTCTAACTTTTAATGTGATGTTTTCTGTTTACCATTTTCTTTATGTTTCCTTCATGTATTTCCTTTTTTTTTTTTGAGACGGAGTCTCGCTCTGTCACCCAGGCTGGAGTGCAGTGGCCGGATCTCAGCTCACTGCAAGCTCCGCCTCTGGGTTTACGCCATTCTCCTGCCTCAGACTCCCGAGTAGCTGGGACTACAGGCGCCCACCACCTCGCCCGGCTAGTTTTTTGTATTTTTTTTTAGGAGAGACGGGGTTTCACTGTGTTAGCCAGGATGGTCTCGATCTCCTGACCTCGTGATCCACCCATCTTGGCCTCCCAAAGTGCTAGGATTACAGGCTTGAGCCACCGTGCCCGGCCCATGTATTTCTTTAACTATTTGTTTTAAACCTACAAAGTTATTATGAAATATTACAGATTTTTTTTACATTAAACAACTATGCTGCTAAGCTAATTTTATTATCTTTAACATAATTTGAAAATATATATTATTTTAGGGCAAGCCTTTTGCTTGATCTTAGGTCTGTATACACACAGCACATGTACAGCTCTGTGCAGCGGGGTGCAACAGAATATTTGTCCACATGGGTTATGTGAAGGATGCCATCAGCATCAGTGCAATTCTGCACTTAGATTTCCTGCATTCATAAGAAAAATATGAAAATATTATCAATGTACTAGCTCTCATTAGAACATGAACAGAAATCTAGTTTTCTTGGAACAATTCTAGTTTTCATTTTCATTTTCCAGCTATTGGGAAGAGCAAGGAAAAGTGTTGGATCCCTTCGGGAAGTTGCAAGTCTCTCTAGAAGATGGGTCCAGATTTGGAGCACAGTCATAGTCTCCAGTGTAGATCAGGGGAGGTGACATACAGTCCACTGTATTCTGCAGAAGTCAGATCCTATTTTAAAGAGATGTGCTTCACCCTGGAGACTATATTCTAAAAGGGTCACAGTAAATTAGGGGGCATCAGATGGAGGACAAGCAGGATGATGATGGATCTGGAAAGCATATCATGGAGAAAATGACCATAAAACAGACTGTGGCTTGGAGAAGAAAATATTTGATGAGACATTAGCTCTCTTCAAGCAGCTGCAGAGAGAATCCATTGAGAGAGTTAGATGCATTCTGTCTTGGTGCGGTGGGATGAGGGGTGGGGAGGGTGGCAACCTTCCTATGCAAAAGACTTTCTAATGGCCGTAGTTCCAAAATGCTATGGACTACATTTTACAGTTTGAAGATGCCTGGGTCATGCTGACTACTGTGGTTTCCTTCAATTTAAATGCCTAAAAAAAAAAAAAAAAAAAAAAAAAGAAAGGAAAAGAAAGAAAAAGAAAGGAAAAGAGTGAGGCAGCCAGCACTCAGGTATTATTATCCACTGGAGCATGTAAGGTCAATGGGGGATTTTACTACTCAGGTTTGCAAGACCTGCAATAAATTTCCTTCTAGGTACTTAGTCTTCCATTAAGCAACACTGCTGTCAGGTGAATGATGATAATTTGGTCACCAAATGACCACCAGGTGCTTTAACAGGCCATGCATGGATTTTCTACTTAACATAATTAACATTTTATTTAAAAAGAAGTCTTCAAGAAAAAAAAAAAGGCAGGTTGTGGGGGCAATAAGCTTCAGCATGATTACCAATCAATCACTATCCTTGAAAAGATAGGACAAAGTTTGAAAAAAATATTTTGGGTTTGGTGCAGCTTTTCTCCAACCACTCAGAAGAGAAGAGACTGGCAGATTAGGCCCCTCTTCTTACCTGATGCATTCCACAGACTCCGGCCTTGATTTGAGATCTTGATCTTTAGCTGCTACTCCAAAATGAATAGGAAAGAGCCCGCCAAGTATAATGTCCCCTTTCTTTTGGGCTCGCTGGTTGGGCCCATAGGCAGAGGTGTGCCAGGTGAGTGCCAAGAGGACCCAGAAGCAGCAATAAAATGCCATGGTTCTGCCTTCTCTCCAGGGCGAGGGACAAGACAGCTAGGAGTTTGGAGGCTCCCAGAAGTTTTCTCCCTTGGAGCAGTTCACTCCCTGCAGTGGGGACACATGTCTACAGAGTGATTAATAAAAGAATAGAAGAAGTGGTGTTTGAATCTCCATTTCTGCCTTCTTCATTGCAGACTTGTAAGGTGGGTGGTCCTTGAGTCTTTGGAAGCCACATCATGTAGAGGCCTCCTGTGATGCCTTCTAAAAGAAAAGAAAGACAAAATGGATTCAGCTAAACCTAAATCCCATCTTGTTACGACTACTGCAACCGAGGTGGCTCAGAATTTCCATTTAGAGGGGTCTAGGGGTGGCAGATTGAAAAGGCCTGGCTTGGAGTCACATTTTTATAGCACTTATGTAAAATACAGGAAACTTCAATTGCCCATATTGGGGAAGAACTGTGTTAGGTTATGAAAGGTCAAATTTTAAAGAGGCCGTTGATAACCTAAGACCTCCGCTGGTGCTGATGCTGGATTTTAATCCATTCATTTTCCTGTGTGAATGAGGCATAAATTTGGCCTATTAGTAGCAGCAGCCCCTTTTGTTATAATAACATTAGTGATATTTTATTCAGCATATAAGTTCTTTTAGAAAATATAGGATGAAGCCGAGTGCAATGGCTCATGCTTATAATCCCAGCACTTTGGGAAGCTGAGGCAGGTGGATAACCTGAGGTCAGGAGTTCAAGACCAGCTTAACCAACACCCTATCTCACTCACCCTGTGAGTCAATTACCAATTACAGGTTGATGGGGCTAAATATCCAGCCTGCCTTGAGGTTCAGGGCCAAGCACTGGACTGCCAACTGGACACTGCCACATGAATGTTCCACAGATTCTTTGAATTTAACAGGTCCTAAACTCACCTCCCTACCGAACTTGTTTCTCCTTCACTGTTTTCTATTTTAGAAGATTACACGCCATCCACAGAGACACAAAATAAGGAGCCATCTTTTCTTCTTTCTGTTCTCATAATTGTCCTTCATTTTTAAACAACCCCCAAGCCCTATAGATTCTACTTCCTAAACCTCTCTGGAATCCATTTACTCCTCACCATTTCCAAGACTATTTTCAGTCTACCATCATTTTTTTTTTCTTTTTCTTTTTCCCTCTCCTCTCCTCTCCTCCCTTCCCTCCTTCCCTCCCTCCCTCGCTCGCTCCCTTCCTTCTTCCCTCCCTCCCTCCCTCCCTCCCTCCCTCCCTCCCTCCCTTCCTTCCTTCCTTCCTTCCTTCCTTCCTTCCTTCCTTCCTTCCTTCCTTCCCTCCTTCCTTCCTTCCTTCCCCTTCTGTCTTTCAGAATCTGGCTCTGTCACCCATGCTGGAATGCAGTGGCGCCATCACAGCTCACTACAACCTCAACCTCCCTGACTCAAGCAGTCCTCTCACCTCTGCCTCTTAAGTGGCTGGGACTACAAACACATGCTACCCACACCTGGCTGATTTTTAATTTTTTCTTTTGTAGAGGAGATGGGGTCTCACTCTGTTGCCCACAGCTGGCCTTGAACTCCTGGGCTCAAGTGATCCTCCCACCTTGGCCTCTCAAAATGCTAGGGTTGCAGGTGTGAACCACCATGCCTAGCCCTACTATCATTTTTAACCAGATTTCTGCAACTCTTTCTTAACTGGCATTCCCATCTCCAGTTTTGCTCTTTTGCAATTTGCAAATCTTTGGATGCCACAGGACAAGTGCTTTGGAGCACAGGCTCTGGAGTTAAACCTGGCTTTGAATCATAGTTCCACTACTTTCTAATATGACTTTGGGCAAGTCACTTAATGTCTGTGATCTAAACAAAATAATGCATGGAGAGCCAGCCATTAGCACAATGTAACTAGTAAACTCATAGAAAATACTGGCTTTAATGAATACCCTTCCACTCTTGTCAGTTTTCTCTTTGAATGTCACACTTCAACCTTGCTGAACTTCTTTCAGTTCCTCAAGGACATCAGGCTTTTAAAATGCTCAGACCTCACACTTGCTGTTCCCCTCCTTGGTCCCTCTGGCCTAAACTTGGCCTGGAAAACATCTACTTATCTTTCAGCTTTCAGATGTCCATAATTGTGGGGTGTGTCTGGGTGAACTGTAGGCCTTCAGGTGAATGAGGAAAAGAGCTCCTTCTGGGGCGCACACAGCTTTGAGTCAAGGTGCACAGCTTTAGTGGAACACAGGTTGGATTTCAGCCCACATTAACCCCTCAGTTGTGCAGTGAGCAATTTGCAAGGCTCTTGAAGGAGGCCTTCCCTGAACCCTTAGGTGAGAGAGGTCCACCTATAAGAACATAGTCTCTTATATAAATCTTGGATCTTGAGCTTCCCTCTTGGAAGGTTCATCACACTTTATTATAGTTATGTTCATAAATGTCTGATTCCAGAGCCCAATCTCTTAATCGTTGTCATATGGTGCCTCTTGGTCCTTAGGAATTCCACCTTCTCCTCCAACAGCATTCCTAGCAGAGTGTGCTGGGCCTCAGGTGGAAGGACCACCCCAGCAGACACTCAGTTTTCATGGAATCTCCTCCTGTAATGTCTGAACATCCATGACCACCCCAGTTTTCTGACCCTAGTCCTGCTTTTAGATTTTTGGCTTCATTACTTGGACCCTGGACATATGTTCACTCATACATTTAATAAGTACCTGTACTGGGAATATAAAGGTGACAAACACATGCATGTTTACATTGTTAGGAGCTCCCAGTCCAGGGGGTAGGCATGCTGGTCTAAATGATCAGAATTTACCTTAACACTCAGAAGTGAAAAAAAGTAACTTTTTTTCTAAATTTAACTTTGCCCTCCAGCACTTAGTACAGTGTCTAAAATAGGAAATGCTGAATAAATGTTTGTCAAATAAAAGCATTAAAAAAGAAAGTACTTTGGAAAGAGAAACTAGCATTTATTGATCCAGGCATTGTACCAGGTCCCTTAAACATTCTAGGTATTTTAAACTTCACAACAATTTTGTAATGAGGGTAATACCAAGTCCACCTTCTAGATGGGGAAATAGATTCTTTGTATATTCAGCTTACTCAAGTGAGCAGTTTTGGCACTTGACTTAAGAATGCCTTAAGAACTCAGAATTTTAAGGAGTCCCGTGGACTGAATTAGGTAGGAGAGGGAACATTATAACTGGCTAGGGTTAGTCACTGAGACCTGTTAAATTTTTCCTGTGAAATATTAACTACTTGGAGAAATTTATTAACTTAATTAGTTCATTCAACAGAAAATTCATGGCAAGAAGGAATAAAGGAAGGAGAGATTTGGGGTCAATTTGCAGCAGTTAACTCTCTCAGTCTAATGTATTCTTCAAACCACCCTTTTGAGTCCAGTTGCCAGGGTTGAATTTGCTTTCAAAGCTAAGGGTCATTCTAGATCCACCATCTCCCTCTCCTCCAACATCCAGTCTCCTGGTCCTGTGATTCTGCCATTGCTTCCCTCTCTGCCTTCTCCTACACACTCCTGTGGCCAGTGCCTTTGTTCAGGCTCCCACCACCTTCCACCTTCCATGTTGTAAAAGCTTTATCTTCTTTGTACTTGACTCCTGGTTGCCCCTCATCCCTTCTCCCCACTTCCTCTGTTCTGCTGCACGGAGGTGGATATGACAGCTGGAGACCATCTTGAACAAGGAGCTACCACCTAGGGAATGATGGTGCCATGAACTAAGCATTTCATAGCGCAGAACCTTAGTATTGAACTATTCCTGGACTTTTGCCTGACAGAGAAAAAAGGCTTCTGACTGGTTTAAACCACTGTTATTATATATATATTTTTTCTTACTGTAGTTATCTCCAACAGTATCTAGCAAAGAATCACAAATAAACTCATTTGTTCTCCTTACTATACATTTATTCCATTTAAATCATATATAATCATGCTTGCTTTCCTGCAAATGAGTATTGCAAAGCTGAAGCTAATATTTGTTCTTTCTCTCAATGGCAGATACATCTTGGAAGAAGAAATGACCCGTGCACCAGGTGGTTTTATGCTTAAAAGGTTCTTAATATCAGGAGGAGTGTTTCAGTATGGACAGATAATGGCTTACTAGGCTCTTCAGCCAAGGATCGGAGATGGAAGATGAGGGCAGACTGGTCAATGTGTTCCATGGGTTCATGAAGTTACAAATTCATGCAATGATTTACTCATTCAAAAACCATTTATTGAGCTCTCTATGTGCTAGATACTAGGGAGTGCAAGACACTAGGGAAAGAAAGTTGAAATTTTTGCCTTCAAGGTGCTCATGGTTTAAAAAGAGACAGAAAGGTGTATTATAAGGATGGTGATCTAAATGCTATAAAGAGGCATGGATTAAGTATTGAGGGAGCACAGAGCAAAGAGTGATATTCTCTGTCTGGTGTTTGCTGGGAAAGAGAATTAAGTCAAGACAGGAACCAGAAACTTCATGAGGCCAAGGCCTGTCTCTTTTCTTCACCATTGCTGCCTAGCACCCAGCACAGCACCTGGCACAAATGATTCACAAATATTTGTTGAATAAATGTATGAAGTGTGCCCAGTAAAGAAGAGAGGCTGGTTGGGCAATTCCTGGACAGGACAGGGAAGGGGTCACCCCACAAGACTGACGGTTCCTGTAGGCAGAGGCTTCTCCATGATCACAGCTGCATCCTCAGCATCAAACAAAGAACCTGGTACTAAATGGATGCTCTAAAAATGTCTGTTGAACTTACTGTTCCAAGAGTAGGTATGTGGCTAATCCAAGTTCCGCAGTCAAGACAAGTTAACAGAGGATAGCAAAACAACGTTAGGAGTGAACACTACCACATTTCAATTTTCTTCCAAATAAAAACCACCCCTACTCTCACCTCTTGGCCTTAACATTTCTGGAAATTGTGAATCTCTAGAGCAGAATGATTTTGCTCACATTTCAAATAGAGAAAACGCAGGCGCTGACCTTTTGAACATAAAATCACTCAGTAAATTAAAGGCACAGTAAGCTCAAAGGCTACTACTTCTGAATTCCTAGATTGCAAAAAAAAATTCTAGGTTGCCTAGGAAAAAGATAGTTATAAGACTAAATTTGATTTCCAATAGAATTTATCTTCGTAAGGTGAGTACACTGCTATGTCTCTGGTTTATTGTACTGTAATCTTTGTCATCTTTCATCACAATGATCATAAAGATACTAACAGTAAGGTTTGAAGCCACTATTGCAGAAAGGTGAAATGTGTATGTTTTAATGAGGGTGAACAGGAAAAAT